TAGAATCATGTGACAGAAAGGCATCATGGAAATCTACTATCAATACCAACACAACAAAAAAATAACAGCGGAGTTCAAAGTGACCTACAAGCAGTATCCTCTGATTTTGCTTATCCATACCATAATATACTCTATCAGTACAATAAATGTGTGCACATGTCTGTGCATGAGTGTGAGTTCATACCAGTGATGAGTATTATCAGTCTGAGATATCAAACTTTATCAGTCTGAGAAATCAGTCTTTATCAGTCTGAGATATCAGACTATCAGTCTTTATCAGTCTGAGATATCAGTCTTTATCAGTCTGAGATATCAGTATTTATCAGTCTGAGATATCAGACTTTATCAGTCTGAGATATCAGACTTTATCAGTCTGAGATATCAGTCTTTATCAGTCTGAGCAGTCGAGATATCAGTCTTCATCAGTCTGAGATATCAGTCTTTTTCAGTCTGAGCAGTCTGAGATATCAGTCTTTATCACTCTGAAGTATCAGTTTTCATCAGTCTGAGATATCAGTCTTTATCACTCTGAAGTATCAGTCTTTATCACTCTGAGATATCAGACTTTATCAGTCTGAGATATCAGTCTTTATCAGTCTGAGATATCAGTCTTTATCACTCTAAGATATCAGTCTTTATCAGTCTGAGATATCAGTCTTCATCAGTACAAGATATCAGTCTTTATCAGTCTGAGCAGTCCGATATATCAGTCTTTATCACTCTGAAGTATCAGTTTTCATCAGTCTGAGATATCAGTCTTTATCACTCTGAAGTATCAGTTTTCATCAGTCTGAGATATCAGTCTTTATCACTCTGAGATATCAGTCTTTATCACTGAGATAGCAGTCTTTATCAGTCTGAGATATCAGTCTTTATCAGTCTGAGATATCAGTATTTATCAGTCTGAGATATCAGACTTTATCAGTCTGAGATATCGGTCTTTATCAGTCTGAGATATCAGTCTTTATCAGTCTGAGTAGTCCGAGATATCAGTCTTCATCAGTCTGAGATATCAGTCTTTTTCAGTCTGAGCAGTCCGAGATATCAGTCTTTATCACTCTGAAGTATCAGTTTTCATTAGTCTGAGATATCAGTCTTTATCACTCTGAAGTATCAGTCTTTATCACTCTGAGATATCAGACTTTATCAGTCTGAGATATCAGTCTTTATCAGTCTGATATATCAGTCTTTATCACTCTAAGATATCAGTCTTTATCAGTCTGAGATATCAGTCTTCATCAGTCTGAGATATCAGTCTGAGCAGTCCGATATATCAGTGTTTATCACTCTGAAGTATCAGTTTTCATCAGTCTGAGATATCAGTCTTTATCACTCTGAAGTATCAGTTTTCATCAGTCTGAGATATCAGTCTTTATCACTCTGAGATATCAGTCTTTATCACTGAGATAGCAGTCTTTATCAGTCTGAGATATCAGACTTTATTAGTCTCTTGATCAATATAGGTCTGTGAGTCTATATAAGTGTGTTGCATCAATCTTTGACATCAGTCCTGGATTTAAGATTGTGCTTTCAATCTGTGACATCAAGTCATATATTTCAGACTGTGCTATCAATCTGTGAATATCAGTCCTGGATTTCAGTCTGTGCTTACATCTGTGACATTAGTCCTGGATTTAAGACTGTGTTATCAATCTGTGACATCAAGTTCTAGATTAAAGACTGTGCTATCAATCTGCAACATCAGTCCTGGATTTAAGACTGTGCTATCAATCTGTGACATCAGTCCTAGATTTTTCAGACTGTGCTATCAATCTGAGACATCAGTTCAGATTTAAGACTGCGCTTTCAATCTGTGACATCAAGTACTAGATTACAGACTGTGCTATCAATCTGTGCTATCAGTCCTGAATTTAAGACTGTACTATCAATCTGTGACTTCAGTCTGTGCTATCAATCTGTGAATGTCAGTCCTGGATTTGTGTCTGTGCTTACATCTGTGACATTAGTCCTGGATTTAAGACTGTGTTATTAATCTGTGACATCAGGTCCTAGATTTCAGACTGTGCTATCAATCTGGGACATCAATCCTATATTTAAGACTGTGCTATCACTCTGTGACATCAGTCCTGGATTTAAGACTGCGCTATCAATCTGCGACATCAGTCCTGGATTTAAGATTGTGCTATCAATCTGCGACATCAGTCCTGGATTTAAGACAGCGCTATCAATCTGTGACATCAGTCCTGGATTTAAGACTGTGCTATCAATCTGTGACATCAAGTCCTAGATTTCAGACTGTGCTATCAATCTGCGACATCAGTCCTGGATTTAAGACTGCACTATCAATCTGTGACATCAAGTCCTAGATTTAAGACTGTGCTATAAATCTGCGACATTTGTCATGGATTTAAGACTGTGCTATCAAACTGTGACATCAGTCCTGGATTTAAGACTGCGCTATCAATCTGTGACATCAGTTCGGATTTAAGACTGCATTATCAATCTGTGATATCAGTCCTGGATTTAAGACTGCGCTATCAATCTGTGACATCAGTTCGGATTTAAGACTGCGCTATCAATCTTTGACATCAAGTCCTAGATTTAAGACTGCACTATCAATCTGCGACATTTGTCCTGGATTTAAGACTGTGCTATCAATCTGTGACATCAGTCCTGGATTTAAGACTGCGCTGTCAATCTGTGACATCAGTTCGGATTTAAGACTGCGCTATCAATCTTTGACATCAGTCCTGGATTTAAGACTGTGCTATCAATCTGTGATATCATGCCTATATTAAAGACTGCGCTATCAATCTGTGACATCAGTCCTGAATTTAAGACTGGGCTATCAATCTGTGACATCAAGTGCTAGATTTCAGACTGTGCTATGAATCTGTGACATCAGTCCTAGATTTCAGACTAATAGTATCTGTCATATGTTGCGGTTCAGACCGAAATATCCGTCCAAAGGGTGCCCATGGGCGGGTTCCAAAGGGATGGATATTCCGGTCCTAACGTCAAACATATGTCAGATATTTTTTCTTGCATGTTCTGCCATATCATTTCATATTTCAAATTGTTTACGTCAATGTGATATATGTTCATGGAAATTAAAGTCATTTCATCCATAACTATTTTCTTACAATAGCGTATGAACTTACAACTTAAATAACAAAGGCGAAATGGCCTCATCCAAAGCACAATTTTCCTTCTAAAACGACATCATTTTAACGCGGTTCATTCATTTAGTGCGCTAAAATGACGTTGCTTGGCAAACGACTCATCTGGCACCCCCCATGCCAGATGAAATTTCCGGCATGGGTAAAACTCACAGAAACGCCAGTCTGCTATGCAAGAATGTGCTATCAATCTGTGACATCAGTCCTGGATTTAAGACTGTACTATCAATCTGTTGCATCAGTCCTAGATTTCAGACTGTGCTATCAAACTGTGACATCAGTCCTGGATTTAAGACTGTGCTATCAAACTGTGACATCAGTTCTGGATTTAAGACTGTGCTATCAAACTGTGACATCAGTTCTGGATTTAAGACTGTGCTATCAAACTGTGACATCAGTTCTGGATTTAAGACTGTGCTATCAAACTGTGATATCAGTCCTGGATTTAAGACTGTGCTATCAAACTGTGACATCAGTCCTGGATTTAAGACTGTGCTATCAAACTGTGACATCAGTCCTGGATTTAAGACTGTGCTATCAAACTGTGACATCAGTTCTGGATTTCAGACTGTGCTATCAAACTGTGACATCAGTTCTGGATTTCAGACTGTGCTATCAAACTGTGACATCAGTTCTGGATTTCACTCATTGAAATACATTGTGGATTTCAATCTGTGCTACCAGTCTGTTATGTGTGTTAGTGACATAAGTCTTAGAATTATCATTTTAGTAAAATGAAGTGAGCGAATGATCTGGAATTTTACACACAATTTACAAGAACTACATCAAATGAATCATTTATCTCAAAAAATATTTCCAGTACCATCATGTCAAAAAAATGCAATAGAGTCCCTTTAAGAGAAATCAATGGTCTCATTTTTTTTTCGCCATATATATTTGATATCAAACACACAGAGGAATGTGAACCTAAACTGCGTAGGAGTAAGTTTTCCGAATAGAACATATCCTGAATAGAACATATCCTCTCGTATACTAGATCAAAGTTTATTCTGGCAAATGCATCAAAGAAATAACTGTACCTTTTTTTCATAAGCTTTTTGCTTTTTTCAAGTAGACTGTAACAGTTTTCAAGCAGACTGTAACAGTACCAACTCTCAGCAATCAGTTACAAATTAACTGATATTCTGTGATGGGGAAAATATATACAATGGATTCCACAGCTGTCATATTAAGAAATAATTGTATTTCCATCACACTGCTTACGTAATCATGTCACATCATTTTTTTTTATCAATTTTCTTTTTGGCATCTTCACTGAATGATGTTTGTCAGTAAAAAATAAATCAGAAAAAAAAAGGTTTCACACTGTATCAAGGATCAATTAGAAATGTTAATCAAAGTATAAAATAAAATGGTCTAAGGGGAGCAACTCTTGCATATGTGGAGTATCCTGGGCAAACTGGAGAACCATTCCATTTCAACCCACTTATTTAATACTAAATCAAAATATCTTTATAAAAACACCAACCAATAAATATATGACATTTATAGAGAAGAAGGTTAGGTGCATTTCACTATTGTACATACACGTTGTGTATTAATGCAATTGCTTGATCATACATGTATATCTACATGTATCTATACATAAGTAAAATTTAATAATGATAAAACTCAGTCTCTGTACAAAACTAAGCATCACAAGCCTACATCATAATATTGATGAAATAATTAATTAAAAAAGATTTTTGTTGTTCATTTTTCATGTACATGTATGTATATAGAATCATTCAATTTATTTCAAGATAGTCTAAGGGGAATAATCTATTATAATTTATCTTACAAATTAAAGATAAGTGGCTTCCCTTGGCTAATAAATAATGATAATTTAAACAAACAAACCTGAGTCCACAATGTTTGGCTCTTCATGCAACGCTGGTACTGTTGAAGTTGACCTTGTCTTTGGGGGGATGGGAGGAAGTTCAGGTGGGGGATCCATAACTTCCCCATCATGACCTTTCACCCCTAGATACTTCATGTAAGGGCCTGGAAACAGCCCCTGCAAATTTCGAGATACATTGTATCCTCTAAGCCATTCCTGTGGGTTTTCAGGCTTCATACCACCTAAATCTCGTCCCGAGACCTCTAGGATATCCCCTTGCTCGACCAGCATGTATGTATTACTATCGTCATCGTGATCTAGAGGATTGTACCGGTATCTGGCCTCATATACATGTACGTCATCCATTTTTGACTCTACTGATCTCACCATAACAATGATTAGTTTCAGACAGAATGAAATCTAAATCTGAAAAAAAAAAAAATGTTTACTTAGTATTATAAATAAGTAATTATAATTTTCATTCACAGTTAGCATCTCTTAAGTTGCATAATTTGTCTTCATTGAAAAGTTATTAAAAAGCCCTAAAATTTTTTATTACATTTCATTCTGGAGTCTTTTTTGAAACAAGGGGGTCATTTGCCACAAAGCGCTCACCTGGAGACAGAATGGTTAAGTCTTAAATGCTGAAAGTTTGTGTCAACTATAATACCCGAGTTCTATAAATTTCCAAATTTAATAGGACCTACTGTCTTCAGAATAAACAAAAGGGCCTTAATGGCCCTAATATCGCTCACCTGAATATATATATTCTCCATGACAAGGATCATTACAATTTAGTAATATTGTAACTATAAGTGAAAGCAGATATAAAATCTAAATAGGGGACCAAAAGGAACATTTCTGTGAAGATTTGTCATTTGTTTCAAAGAAGATGTTGTTTAGAGAAATTGTTGATAACAAATGATGGATGATGGATTTGGGGGGAATCACAAAACTTCACCAGGACTTGCTCAGATGAGCTAAAAAATACAACAAAGAAACATAATTTCAAAAGTAGATTGATACTCAAAAACATGTATAAAAAAATAAACAGAGACATACTTGTTGATAAGGAAGTTCAAAAACTAAGGGGAATGATTGGCTGAAAATGTATCATTAAAAAACCAATACTTTACATAACATATTTATACAATTTCAAGTATTGAAAGTGTCTCAATAAAAAATAAATAAATTCCTAGAAAATATTGAAACAATAAAAATTCCTAGAATTGCTATCCTGCTATTATTAAATTATGGTCGCAGCTTGAAGAAAGCACCTTATGTGTGTCAATATATGTGACTTTAAATGCTAAAAAATATTTGTTTCTGCTGTTCGAAATTTTCAGATCTGCTGGAAAACTTTCATATTTATGAATCACCACAGTATCTTGATATATTTATATTTAGCCAAGCTTGACTTTTCCTTATTTCTAAAGTCAAACTCATCAGAGGAAGAATATTATAGTAAAGAGTACTCCAGAAAACATTTTTTTTTATAACAAATAAAATTCAAATTTCATATTTGACCTTGAAGGTGAAGGTCATAATCAATTTGGTCTACTTAAAGGTCTTGCCCAAAGGATAATTGTGTCAAAGTATAAAGAAAATGAGTATTCAGAAATAACAAAGTTCATAAATAACAAAACTATTGCAATTATAACAAAAATCAAGCAAATTCATTCATTTGACCTTCAAAGCCTCAAGGTCAGGGTCATTGATAAGTGAAATTTCATTTTGGATTTAGTCTTCTGGAAGGTCTTGTACAACGGATTAATGTGCCCAATTATGATGACAATCCATTCATAAATAATAAAGTTATAGCAAATTATAGCAATACTCAAACATTTGACCTTTAAATCAAGGTCATTTATGAGTCAATGTTCAGTCAGATCTACTTGGTCTTGTCAAAAGGGTTTTTGTGTCTACGTATGAAGACAGGTCTTGTCAAAAGGGTTTTTGTGTTCAAGTATGAAGACAATCCATTTATCCATAATATTCTTTTGAAAAAGTCTAGCATGACATCTATTTTTTATGCATTTTTATTTGTGCAGGGGCAACAACTCTTGAACACTGTCAGTAGCTGTTTAAACTGAGTAAATATTTGAATATACCAGTAATCAAATTGAATATTGTTGTTTGTTTTTTTTGTTCTTTTGTCTTTTTTTAAAGCTCATCCCACCCCCTTTCAAAACTGCATTTTCTTTTTCAAACATTTTTTCAATTAGATTACATGTACATTCAAATATTTAATCAGTTTAAACGGCTCATTGATGGCATCTTTTTAAAAGGTAGATAATTGTACAAACATGGTAGATAAATAGATGTACGAACAAAGTTTAAGGTTTCCCCTGATATTATGAGATATCTATTTTTACTTGTATCAATATTAGCTTATCACAAAGATAAGTGTAATTATACATGCATGTCTGTAGTTCTTTAATATACATGTACCTCTCACAGAATAACAACAGTATAAATGTCACTGCATTTATTTTGAACAGTTGACATCAGTAAAAAATAGACTTACTCCAGAATTAAGAATATTTGGGTTTTTCCCAGATACTCCGTAGGTACAAACAAATTTTTAACAGTTACAGCTTCGAAAATAAGCATAAAAGGTTGACTTATATATTGTGAAGTGCACTGTGAAGCTATAACGGTTAAAGTTAGTTTGTATCTACAGATTAGCTGGGAAAAACTCACATTTGCCGTCAGTTCCGGAGAACGTGTACTGTCTAACCAGCTCTTATTGTTAATTATTTCTAAGTAAGTCCTTTAGATCTCTCCTCCCCTTAAGATTACATCAATATTATTAACATTTGTGAACGCCCTTCACTAAATCGAAACAGAAGGGTTTTATAATTCAAACATTTTGACCCTTATGAATGTAGCCTGCTAGCAGTGACTGAATCTACCCACGTGACCAGTGCTGACCAAGATCAGCTGGCATTCCAGTGTTGTCTGATCTTGCTACTCTGTCCTTATATATTTTGAAATTTTCCCTGGAAATAATGAACAGTTGTGTCCAGATTTAAAGATGGGCAAGTCTATGTAAGATATAAATGGTTTAAGAAAGGACCATTTGATGACAATATATAATTTGATTGGTGCTCTATTCCTTACTTCACATGATGGATTATATCCAAAGACTATCATTTTATGATCCTACATGTAAAGGCAGCAAAGGCAATGTTGCGATAACAAAACATACTTATTTAAAGATAACCTATTTAAAGATTACCTATTAGTAAGTTTAAAAAGAAGAGAAATAAATTCATAGGTTAAATCTATTTAAAGCTATGGAGATTAGATTTAATTTAAACATAAATTAGTGATTACTATGATTAGAACTACATATTATTTATTTTAGCTTGGCTGATGACTAAAGTTTTAAACTTTTTTCAACAGTTGGAACTTACAAGTACTGGTGCCATGTTAAGAAACTTGGTCACGACCCTCGAAGGATCAAACCCTCAATTTTGGGTAGACAGGCCGAATTCAAAAAAAAAAAATTGGGCTATCGTGACTTGATTTATAAGAAAAATCTTAAGAAAAATGCTAGCCCAAGGCTATTATACTGGTGCCTCATATTTCCGTGGTACTTAACTGTTTAGCAGACAATAAAAGTTAACTGGATAAAATTCTGGAAAACACTGTGAATATTAAAGGAAAGACATGTCAATTGCATCATAGTTTATTCCATTTGATGTTTTCATGTAAGCAATTATGTAAACAACATTGTAATAACACCCATCTGCGGCCTTTTGAGTAAATTTGTGTTCTCATATTTCCAAGGCAATTGCATTTTAACAGTTTCAAAAGCAAAACCAATAGTAAACTTTATTTATAAGTACACCTATACCTAAGATCGTCTGAAAGGGGCGATTTTCTCTTTGGCATTTATCAAATACCTCAGTGGTTGTTTAACAAAGAAGATTTTCTTAATAGGTATGAAATCTAAAAGAAAAATGGTGAAATATTAAATAACTTTGCTCTTAATCTGAATACAATATTTTTTTTTAGTTCTATATAAAACATTTTGATAAAAGTACAATAAAATAGTAAAAGTAAAACTACTAGCAGGTTCATTAAGTCTAGGAGGTATTTTAGAGTGTTTAAGCCTGATACCTTGGAAATATGGGTACCACGGAAATACGAGGCACCAGTATACAATCAATGTTTGGGCAATTACTGGTGAGAAAGTCATTTGATATTGTTTATTTTTATTTTTAGCTCTGGTGACATCTAAAATCGGGACCAATGCAAGGATGCTACAGGCAATCTTTTAAAATACATTACAGGTAATTCTAGCCTATTGTTTTACAAACAAGAGCTGTCGGAAGGACAGCATGCTCGACTATTCTAAGTGCTTGATAGTAAAAGAGCCTTGATACTGTTAAATTTTTCAAGTTCACAAAAGGGCTAATTTTTTTTTATAAATTCATGTTATAGGCCTTAGAGAGAGTCTAATTATACAGTATTGGCTTGACTATTTGGAAGGTAATGTCACAAGGTGTTTTATTGAGTATAATAATACTAATTACCTATGAATACATAAATTTGACAGAAAAGGTACAATAGCTTGTTATTAAGATGTTTAATCAAGTAAATCACTGCTTTATTATTATGAATGCATAAAATTGTCCCAAAAAAAGGCAAAAACCCTTCAGTAGTTATTGAGATAACAGCTTACAAGCAAAACTTTACCATGAATTTCTAAGTTGAAAAAGGGGAGAAAAATCAGCCTAAATGAAAGATAGAATTATGGATCTTTGTCAGTGACCTACAATTATGACCCTAAATGCATATGTGAAGTTTTAAATAAATATCTTTAATATTTATTGAGATATGTAAAACTTGCATGTAAACATTAACCAAGACACTAAGTAGAAAAGGGGATATGAATCAGCCTTAATGCAAGACAGAGTTATGGAACTTGGTCAGTGACATACAATTATGACCCTCCAATTTATAATGACCCTAAGTGCATGTGTAAAGTTTCAAGTAAATATCTTTGAAGACCTTTAACCAAAATTTCTAAGTTTCAAAGGGGCAAATAATTCTGCAAATATTGCAGGCAGAGTTATGCAATTTTGCAAACTGATGTACATTGCTACTATAAAAAGGTATTTTAAATTTCAATTGAATATCTCAAGCAATAATTGAGATATTTGACTTTACAAAAAAACTTTAACCAAAATTTCTAAGTTCCAAAGGGGCATAATTCTGTCAATATTGTAGGCAGAGTTATCCAACTTGTCAATCTGATGTACCTTGTTACTATAAATAAGTATTGTAAGTTTCAATTGAATATCTCAAGCAATAATTGAGATATTTGACTTTACAAAAAACTTTAACCAAAATTTCTAAGTTAAAAAGGGGCATAATTCTGTCAATATTGTAGGCAGAGTTATCCAACTTGTCAA